ACTAGAATCAACATTTTGTCAAGTGTAAGCTCTTATTTCTTACATTTTGCAGTGATAATGAAATATTACAATGTGTGCATAAAGTATGGTATAAAGTATCATGGGCCTGGATAACTGAAGTGAATAATTTTGTTAAAAAGCAGTATACGGCAGAGATCATCATCAGTACAGTGCCAGTGACCGCTTGAATTCTAGGAAAGGGTTTTATTGTGTTAAAAGAAGCACTGAGAGCACTTCAATGTGGAGAACCACTGTTATGAAGAGTCTCTCTTAACACCACCTTCTCACACCTCAGTGCCCTACAAACATAAAATGCATCACTGACTCTGTATATTTTAAATGACCCGTGAGGAAAATGCTCCTTTTCCCTTAATAGATTATGCTCACACTTAATAAATATGTTGACTTGATAAAAATGCATATTATCGTTCTGTTTCAAAACTAAGTATTGTATATGTATATGGCATATAGTATATGAACTATAGTAGCTTGTGACTTGTTCCTCACCCATCTTTCGTCTGGTCTTGGAGTTGTTACTGTTGATGCCGACTTTCTTGGCTTTTTTCAGTCGTTGATATCTCAGTGCTTCTATCCTCTCAGACCCTGCAGAGCCACTTGGTGCACCTCGATGTTTTCTGTGCAGGAATCAAAGAGAGGCAAAGCCATCACACATGGGAAGGGTAGTGCGGTGGCTCGCCATGTGTGTTAAACTGGTCATAGTAGTGATCACATGGCCTTTGATTAAGTTACTGCTGCCATAGGCCTACAGGCAACTCAGATTACCCATGAATCAACCAGGCATGGTCCAGTTTATCATGATAAGTATGATGCAAAACATTTATTTGAGAGGAAAGAGAGGTATACTTAAAGTTTTTTAGGTATTTCCTGCCCAAAATTACATTTATAAATATATATAAAATGTAAATATTTTATATATCATTAGGAATTTTTTTTTTTTATGTGTACAATACCTCAATATGGCAACATTATGTATCTGTTTAAAGAGAAATTTTGAGAAATCATTACATAGATTTACAATGGCTGAGCATACTTAAATACATAATAGAATAATACTGTAATGGTAAAGTACTTTTTAAAATATTACTTATAAAAACATTTACATATAAAAACTATCAATCCATCCCAGACGTTTAAGTTTATATGTACAGTCTTCCCATCCAAATACAGAATGGAGGCACTTAAACCGGCAGTCCGCATACTCTGCCCCCCACACACACAGACACACACACACACACTCACACACACACACA